GGATGGATGGATGGATGGTGATAAACTTTGGCATCATCACTATGAGCAGGCCAACGATAATATTAAGTCCAAAGCAGTGGCGTGTGGAAGTTCAGCCTCAGAGAGAAAATGTTAAACCCCAACAAGTCAAGAAGCAGTTTACCTTCACATGACCAGACCTGACCTTTGACCTTATGGATAGAAAATGCCATCACTTCATCACTTCCTCCCTGGGCTCGGTGATACAGTAGTGAGGATTAAGCGGTATATAGATAATGGATGGATGGATATATAAACATAAATGAGGGTAAAAGAATGATTTCACCTTGATACACAGGTAAGTAAAACCCGGTCGTGAACAGAAGGTGACCAACAACTCTCTGACGTAAAGGCTCAACGGCCGGAGACTCCTCCATGTCGGGTCAGTCAGCCCTCAGTGTGGGTTTCTGGGAGGTGGAGGTGGTGGAGGACACGGTTTCATTTAAACTGTAAAACCAGTTTGATGAGGGCAGCCGCTGGTCCCTGCTGGCTGCAGCCTCCACCAGGGGAGATGTGCAGGTGAGGACGAGAGGCCCAGATGGCTTCGTCTCAGGAGACCAGCAGGAAGCCAACAGGGAGCGTGATGGAGGGTAAAGGAGCTCCACCGTCATGGGACGATAAGCTCTGTGCTGAGTGCATCTGATGCATTTAAGTCAAACAACTGAACATTCAGCAGTTTTCTTATCGCTATTGATGAAGTGTTGGTCGCCGGTACATATCAGCCAGGCACACTGTACCGTATTTTACATTTGTGTGAAATCTGTTGTAGTTAGCGAAGTAAGTCTTGAGTTATGACTAAAAACAAATTCTGTGAGGTCTCAGTAACCTCTGACCACCAAACTGTAATCAGTTCATCTCTGAGTCCAAGTAAATATTTGTGCTGAATTTAAAGAAATTCCCAAAAGGTGCTTCAATATACGTCACATTTACAAGAATAGGACGGACAGACAACACAACTGAATAAAAAAAATATATATAAAGATCTACTATCAGTCAGTTTATCACATTTTCAGATCCGTCAGTGCTGTCCTGCAGGTTACAACGAAACCATCCTTCTCCTAAATCCACAGTTATCCCTATTCAGGACTGTTGGACCCCAGGCCATTTGGTTGAGTTGACAGGTATTGGTTTTTTATTTTTGAAGATTTTTTTTTTTTAAATATAAAAAGAGGGACATTTGTCATGCATTAGGAACCAAAAATACGTCACGTTATCAGAAAATGTATTTAACATAGTATGAAAGTCTATAATGGATACCAACAGATATTTTGCACATGTTCCTCGTTGGGGTCCTTCTACGTACGGCAACATCAAAGTCCTGAACAGGGTTCAGCCCCAGGACTGACATTCCTCCAGTACGAGGCTGACAGAATATTACCCCTTCAACTCTGACCTCTGTGGTTCGCCGGCCTGCTCTCCAACAGCTGACCTCATATGCCGCGCTGACAGCAAGCAACACAAGCGACGGAGTCACACGGCCGAGGGACGCGACACGGCGCTGCTCATTAGGAAATGCCACTTGCTATTGGTCAGACGAGGGTCACAGTCAGCGGGGATTGGTCGAACAGCAGCGCCAGTCACCAGCGATTTGTTTTTCGGGGTTCACAGCATCGCCCGTGCCAAGCAGAATTACTGCTGGCCCGTCTGAGGCTGGGAGCGCCCAGCTGGACTGCAGGACGGGCCGCTGCGACGGGCCGGGCAAATGTTAACAAGCTCGATCTGTGACAGACGAGGCTCTGTTGTGCCCCGAGGAGGGGCCACCGCCTGCTCGCTAACATTTATAAAACGATAACAGCTAAAGTGCCCCAGGGCAAGTGATCACATCCACAATTAAGCATGACGGTGAAGAGCTCTCCTGTGGATTTCTGCAGTTGTTGCACTGAGATACGGTTAAAATACACAAGCTACTGTAAACCTAATTAAAGATTTGTTTCTGGTAGTTTGTTTTTTCTGACAGTTCCACAAAAATACACTCCAAACCTAAGAGGTCTGTCAAAATCTTGGAATCTTAGTCGGTGATTATCATAAATATAATCGTGATTCATGATTGTTCACATTACCCCTTTATTAGTCCAAGATTAGCCGTACCACCACCTATGACCTCCATGTTTTTGCTGCAAATCCAACAAATTGCCTTCTCTCGGTTACTAGGCTCAGTTTGATTTCCTTCTGCAGTGTTTGACTTTGCATCTGAATCTGTTTTTACCCATAACTGCTCATCAAAATGCTGCCGGCAGATTAGCAGACATTAAACAGCTTGTGATGACCCGTTGGTGCCCTTAAACCTGAACAGAAGCGCGAATGGTGGAAAATGAGAAAGTCATTGGACATTTCTGTTTGTTTTATTCAGCTGTTTGTATGCAGGTGAATGGAAATGGTCACTGTCAGTGCAAATAATTGTGATCAGGTGATTATTTTTTAATTCTGCAGTTCTTTAACTGTCATTTTATGATCAGCCAAGTTGAAAAACGTGTCCACTGTAAAGACTCTGGAAGTTAATGGCAACCAAACAGGTGACAAAAAAGACCATCAGAAGCAGCAAATAAATTCCTAAAAAAATAAAATTGAATACTAAAAACATTTTATTAGCGTTCACTAGAGTTCAGGTGATCGGGATGTTAAAAAAAATCATCCACAACTTCATGGGTTGATCTATAATAATACTAATCTGTGATGAGGATGTGACGATTCAGCACGTAGCCCAGTTTAAAACTGCAGCACTGGTTAAATACATTGATGTACAGCATCAATATCTCTCATGACACTAAAGGATTCTTGGATGAAACGCTGATCAGGACTCGTTCTGTGCATCTACAGCCATCGACAGTAAAACCAGCCCGCTGACCCCCATAATGACATCACTTATTCATAGCTCTGTAGATGCCAGTTGCACCTCAGGCCAACTGTCACAGACACATACAGTACACAATATGGATGGCAACCCCCCACTTCTTCTTCTCTGCCACCCCTCCCCCACCGCTCCACCTTCTTCAGCGCTACCCGGTCCTCGTCGTGTCACTAATCCTGATCCTTAAAGGGAACCGCCGCCGCCGCCGCTTCCATTTGGAGGAGAGCCTTTGATTGGACACGAAGCACAATGAACATTATCACCACCGCGTTTGATAACAAGTCTGTCATTTCCCCGGTCAGGAAGAATAATTCATAATCCTGCAGACTTTGAATTTGTCTTTTGTATTCAATGTCAGGAATGAGAACGAGCAGCTGAACTGGAGGATGAGGAGCAGAGGAGGAGGATGAGGAGGGATGCTTTGGGGTTATGCTTTCTAAAGATCTCTGAATATTTGGATGAGTATCAGAATCTGTGCCAAACATAACGGACATAGCGTGAGAGACGCAAAGAGGTTTTTCCCTGCAAACGTAATGTACTTTGCGGCAGATTACTAGAATGCATGTGGTCAAGCGTTGATGTTATCTCATCTGCCCTCGCTCGGCTCCACATCTGCATCCGAGCTCCAGCAAATCACCATGACCCGCTGTAATCTGCCGGGGCCATATTATAGAGAGACCCCTTCTATCCGTGTTATCATCTGGCTTTTGATAGTCCCACTCATTCAGCCATTCAGAGATTAGCGCCCTCGATCCCTTTCTTCCTGTCTTTCCTTCTCACACACACACACACATGCGAGGACGAGTCAGACGGGATCAGAGCCGCCAACGAGCGAGAGCAGCTGACAGCCAGCGAGGAGGAACTCGTTCTTTTCTTCCCAGGAAAAAGACTGAACCAATCAAACATTGCTAAAGGGCAACCAATCAGACTCCTCTGCTAACAGCTGGCCACAAAGAAAACACAGGCAGAAGGGTGGAAAAGAAGGAGGCAGACGAGAGAAAGTCAGCAACTCCTAGAGGAGATTTTCCCTCTCCCATTTTTCCCCCTCATTTTCTCTCCAACTCATGTACAGCTCCAGAACTAGGAAGAAAGACAGAAATAGAGAGAGAGAGAGAGAAACACGGGTTGTTTTTTTTTCTCGCTGACACAATCCTACAAAATGCTATTTCAAGAACCGCACAGATTTTGCGGTCGGAAAGCCGAGCCAGGCTTTAAACAGAAACACTACAGAGAGAAGGAGCAACATCATCATCACTCCCAAAACCAAAGTTTGACTCATCCGAAAAAGAAAAACCCTGAGAGAGACACGGAGGGGAGAGAGAGAGAAGGTGATGATTAGGAGTCGCCTTACCCGAAATCGTCCAGGGAATACATGTCGCTGGAGAAGACAGCACAGTCCTCAGGCAAGGGGATGAAAGGAGGTATAAAGGAGGAGATTATGGAGGAGAGGGGGAAGTGTCAGCCTGAGAAGAGAGAGCGCTACACATGCTGTCCGACGCGAGGAAATTCACTCTTTCCCCTCTTCACATTCTCTTAGAATAAAAAAAAAGAAAGTTAAAAAAAATCCACTACGCCAGCAAAGCAGACATGAGAGAGAGAGAGTAGGAGGGAAGGAGTGAGCGAGGGAGATGAGGAGTGTTGCAACAGAGTAAGGGAATGCAAGAGAGAGAGAGAGAGAGAGAGAGAGAGAGGGAACATGTGACCGGTGCAGGCCAGTCACTTCTCTCTGCTTCAAGGATTGGACCGCCGCCTTTCAACCTCCAAGGAATCATTTCCACTGGATGGAAATTACATGCTCGCCTGTATAGGAAACAGCACCGCTTTCACTCTCGCCTGCTTTTCTATACCATGAAAAATTCAGGAAAAAAAAAAAAGAAAAAGTGGGGGAGGAAGCTTTAAATAGATTCTACAGTGTTTCAGCCATAAGCTTTAATCACCAATTAACTACAGAGGAGGAAACAGCAGCAGCGACACGCCAGTTCATTCATTCGGCTCCGATTTCATAACAGGCATTCCAGCTCTCTGCAGGAACAGATGCAATGATTAGATTTATTTCCCAGCAACAATGGTTTCATTGATTTGGTGCAATATTTGTGGCTTTATCTGAGTTTGTCCTCAACCGGTGGTGCATCTGGCCCGAGCAAACTTAGACTATTAAGCTCCTTTGCGAGCCGAAGGTGTAGGAAACAAACAAAGAGCAATCTAGTCCGCCGACAGATTAGAGAAAGTAGCAAGAAACACGCTTCAGGTCCTGGATGGATCGAGTAAGGTCAGAGAAATACAAGATAATCTTCTTTACAAAAACACAGCTCGTGTGCGTCCAGAGCCAGCAGCTGGTCAAACAGCACAAGTCAACGTATGTCTTTGGCAACGCACGTCCAAAGCCAAGGTGTGCAAATGTGTAACTGGTGAGCTGACTCAGGACTACCTGAAATTAAAGCTGCATTCAGAAACCTGCAGGGTGAAAATCGAGAGAGAAGAAGCCTCGCTGAGCTGTGAATGCTGTTCACTGTATGTGGCGGGGTCATCCGATACGGCCCGTTTGACCTCCGTGGTGCCAAAAAGGACACATGATGCATCGCTGAGCACTGTGTGGGATGTATGGGAAACAATAGGCTGCACGACATTTAGAATGGACTTCCATGTGACACCATTTAATATCTGATACACGTGTTAAATAATAAAGATCTAAACATGTTTATAGTTCTTATTATGAAATATTTTAAAAGGATAATAGACTCAAGACATACTATTGTCACGAGCACAGTAGTTAAAATGGCATTTCCCTTCCTCTCTGACGTTAACTGCTCCAGTCTTAATTATTCCATTATTCTGTCAATGAAAGGCTGGAGGGTTGGAGTGTTGTGGCGGCGCTGACGCTGGCTCACGTGGAGCTGCACTCTGATCAGCTCAGAGGGCAGCAGCAGCAGCAGCAGCCTGCAGTAAGGCGCATAACTCAGCACTTTACCTCCTCGCTGTGGCTGCACTCGCTCATTCTACCTTTCCCACAATGAGTCACCACAACAAGCGCTTCAGAAATCAGCCCGCATTAATAGCACAGGACAGACATCTTGCCGTTTTCCCTCTTCTATTTTTTCCCTCCCATGTACCGTACATGTCCTCAGCCTCCCTCTCAAACGCTCACACGCATCCAGAAGTAACCAGAACCCAACCAACCAAATGACAGCAGCCAGTCTGGCTACACAAGAGAAGCATCGCATAATGAAACCACTATGACCAGACTAAAAATAACACATGTGCACGTGCATGAGCATGGTCACGCACATACATAAAATGCATGTGCCCCCTTACATAAATGCTGCAATGGAGGCAGTGAGGCCGAACAAATGATCTCATTGAATCAAATTCTTTTTCTGTGCACTGCAAAAAGAAGAGCCGGGTCACCTTGTTGTTGCTTTGTGGAGATTTAAGACTTCCCTTTTGGGCTTGAGTCAAAGAACAGATCTGCCTCTGGCAAAAATAAACACACAGGACGGGACACAAGCAGCACGGCTTCACGGAAAAAGAGGAAACGGCACGTTCATCCAACTGGACTGAGAGATATGAATCTTACATGTTTACTGTCTGGGAGCAAAACAGTTCAGCTGCTGGCTTCGGGTTTGGGTGAGGCCACAGGAAAGGAGTGAAGTATTTGGATCAGGATATGTTGTGATAAAACACTTCATGCAAGAGATCCAGGTGTGGCAGCGTCTACCTCTTTCTGCCTATCATACGCTTTCTCTGTCTCCTTTTCACTACAACTCCAGACGGTCTCACACACACAGACACACACACACACACACACACACACACACACACATGCAGACAAACACCGGTAGCTACAGTAAAAGCAGAGTGAGAGCGAGCAGCAGAGAGCACTCTATCTGTGGAGAGCTGTCAGAGTAAATCTGAAGCCATAAAACAGAATGGTGCAGGCTGCAGCTACGGAGACATGAAGGAGTCAAACCAGGCAGCAGGGGAGAAATAGAAAAGGGCTGCTTCAGAAATAGAACAGAATACAGAGAGGAGTGCTGCTGCTACTGCTGCTGCTGGAGAGGAGTTGGGCCTCAGCGCATTCTGCATACCAGCATTACAGCTTAAAATACCGTCCATAAACTCAGATATAGAATGAGGGGGGATTCTAACAGGAGACTCATCTTCTGCAGGCCGAGTGTATGGATCCATCATGGCTTATGTAGGTGTGTGAGGAGGGGGGTGGGGGTCTGGTAACCTGCCTGGCAACCACCAGAATAAACACCCTCCTCCTGCGATGGACATAAGCCCCCTCACTTATCCTATTTCCCCCCTTTGCAGCCGCTCACGCTGTCACATTTAGCGTTTTATTCTCCCTATTGCTCACATATGGAGAAATACATGATGCTGTCGTTTCCATGACAACATTAACCTGGCCTCAATCCTGCATTCAATACGCTGGGCGGGTCCGGCGGTGACAATAGAAGCCAAAAGAGCAGAAATCCTATAAATTATCTCCCCTTTTATGCTAAGACTGAGGAGGCGGCTGTGAAAAGGACGCGTACGTGGAGCTGAAGGCCGGCTGGGTGGGCCGCCGATCGCCTCCCAAAAAACCCTGCTCCTACAAGGTGAAAAAGATGCTGCAGTCATTCACTACATGATCATGTTTTGGAAGGTAAATGCAGATGTCGAGGCCGGAGGTCGGAGGGTCTGAGAGTGTCGGTGCGCATCTGTCATGACGCGTCAAACGGAGCGCATGGTGCTGGCCGCAGCTTACCTCATTTTCCTCCTCTTGTTTGATTCAGCCGGATGGTGGTGATGATGATGATGATGGCACCGATGAGGCTTGATCGATGCGTTATTTCGGCCGTGCACCGTCTGGTAAGGCTCGGATCAAGCCTCCACCTTGCGTCCCCCCCTCTTCCCGTGCGTCTGGAGCGATATTACAGGCAGATGATGAGTCGTGTTTAGGAAAAAAAAAAAAAAAAAAGAGGGAGCCTCAACAGGAACGCTAAGCGACAAGCCGAGCGTTTTCTTCCATCCGCTTTGTGCTCCGTTGTCTCTTCTCTCCACACACGCTGCTGCTGCTGCTGCGCCTCCTTAAGTCCATGTTTTCCGCCGCGCTTCGCTCTCGGTGCAAGACGGTGAACGGTGGTGCGCTGCCGCCGCCTCCTTCATGCCATATTTTCTTCCCATTCGGAGTGTTTTGGTGAGGTGGAGAGATTTGGGGGAAAAAATGCTAATACGGCGTGTGGAGGGTAAGAGGAGGAGGAGGGAGGGAGGGAGGGAGGAGGGAGCTGGCCGGCTCAATGCTGCCAACCTGCGGCCAAGACGCACGCATGCAGGCCCCCCAACCCCACCCGGGTGGATCAGCAGCAGGCCTGCTGAGGTGCCACAGTGGTCTGTAAGAGTGCATCCCATTTCCTCCACAACACTCCCCGTGGAGCTTTGCTCAATAAAATGAAAGGAAAAAAGAACAATAAAAGGTAATAAAGTGGAAAACATAAGACACAGCCTCATGGGAATTTCATGTTTCATTTACTTCCAGACAGATGTTTTTTTTTCTGCAAATGTTAAGTGGTGAGTAAGACAAGCCATGTTACATTCACTCTGTGGAGTGGCGCCTGTAAGATGTCTTCCTGCAGGACTTCAAAGCAACAGAACAAGTTATGTTCACGCTAGAAATCTGCTCAATCCCCAAACAAACCGTAAAGAAGTCAGATTTATTCATGCATGTGTGTGTGTGTGTGTGTGTTTAAGCTCTCCTTTGTTTCCTTGGTTTATGAAAAGCTCCAGTATTTGCTAAATGAGCTCAATAGACCCGCTGAATCAGGCAGAAGCAGTGCATTGTAGTAAAAAAACACACACCTCAGGAGAGGGTTCAGTTCAGTTAAATATCTTGCCAGTGACTGACGGTGACTGAGCGGCACAGTCAGACAGTAACAGTGTAGTGGTCTCACCCTTCCCCTTCGCCAGCTGATCTCGGTGCAGTAGAAAGACGCAGATCTGAAAGGGCTTCACATCATTGAAAAACTCGATTTTGGTTCTACTTGAACTCGAGGCAAAAGCAGGATTCAAACCAAGCACGTGACATCCTTAAAAGAAAATAAAAATCTGAGTTTCAAATAGTGTATGTTCATTTCCCTCAGACCTGCTTCAAGCCTCTCAGTGTGTTAACAGGGATTTATTGCAGGAGAAAACTCAAAGCAAATGAAACTGGCAGTGAAGGATTTGACTTGTAATCAATAAATAAAAGGAAAGGTGTCGATTTTTTTTTAAACACCTGGAAGCACAAACACTTGCTACAGCTCATGAATCCAGATGATGTAATCCTTAAATGAATTATCATCGCTCCAAACGGCGCCTGTTCATCGACAGCATTCTTCTCGCTCTGTATATTTATCACGTCCGCCAAATTCAGCTTTTTCTCCTAGACTGTATGAGGTCGATTTCACACACAACAGTCAATGCAAACAAATCAATAACGGTTGCAGAACATTTGGAGCTAATATTAACCGTGGCTCTCAACACTTCAGTGAGATGCTTTTTGGGGCCGCCGGAGGCTGTTTGTGATATGTCAGCGTTACCAACAGGGAACAGGGTCTCGCTTCACTAGTGCTTTCCTGAGTTGTTAAATACAAAACAAAAGAAAGTTTAACAATTAGAAAATCACAATGTACTTTCTGTCCACACGCAGTTTTTGTCGCAGTGCTCTTGGATCTGCAGCTCGGTTGATGTTCAGCCCGGAACGGCTCTGACAGGCAGCAAAACAAACCTCTTCAGTCCATTGTCTGTGGCAGGAGAGTGCACTATACAAGAACAGTGAAAGCCAAACTGTACAGATGCAGTCAGTAAAGTCAGAGCCTTTGGTTCTGTTCAGTTGGATTGGATCCGTTTGTCTCGTGTCATCGGTGACGAGGCTACAGTGCGTGAGAGAGAGATCATTTTTTAACATGTAGTGTGGAGAAAGGAGAAGGAGAAACTTGGGATTTTTTTTTTTGTATTTTCAAGCAGCTGCACATTAAACCTCCTACAGGTCACCTCATCTGGGATCTGTCAGCAGATCGGGAAGGAAACGTCAGGACAAAAGTTTCTCTTCTGTCAAATCACTTCGGTTCAGTTCATTCAGATCCACTTCTTCTTTTTTACTTTTTATTTTTTTTAGTGTCAGTCCATTTAAGTTTGGTTTGGTTCAGTTGAGTTTGCTTCAGCTGGGGTTCAGGCCCCGGCAGCGCTAAGACGCCGACAGTGTCCGAGTCTGTCCGGTGGATCAGACTATCCTCCACTGCATCACGCTCATGTCCTTCCCACCGGTCGACACCAGGTAGCTGTCGTCATACAGGAAGGTCACGTTGGTCACGTGGCTGCTGTGGCCGCCGTAAACATGGCTGGGAGCCTGGAAGAAACAACAAATAAGTACATCTGCCACTGTTTTGTCTCTTTAATAAACTGTGAATAAAACAGCTTCAAAGTGATTTAGAACTGCATTCTTTCTAACAGCCAGCAGAGGGAGACTCCTGCTGGTGCAAAAAGACATTCTACTGTATGGAGTCTATGAGAAAATGATCCTACTTCTCACTTGATTTGTTGCCTCAGTAAGTATTTTCCAAATGAATTTATGGTCTTAATCACTAGTTTTAATCCTCATTCAGTACAATATGACGATCATTTTGTAAATTATGTTTTCATTTACAGTAAACAGACATTTAAACAGGGTGTGCAGCTGTAGGGTGTGGCTACCTTGCAGACGTACTCCATAAAAACAGCAAGACTCACAAACCAGTAGGTGATGTCACACTGGCTGTGAGCACCTGTTTAGAGTCCATGTGCATCACTGAGACGTACGTTTGCACGACAGCATGCAGCGTCTTACCCGGAACTGTGAACAGGGATACGAGAAGAGGTGAACCTTCCCAAAGTCGTCTCCAGTGACCAGGAGGTTTTTATCGTTGGACCTGCACACGGCGTTGATGTCGGTGCCGTCCGAGCCGTCGGGCCACAGGCCTGAGATGCACAAGGAGGCGAAATTGTCATTTGAATGAACATTAAACACCTCGCTAAAGAGAGAGAGAGAGAGGGAAGGAGGCGTCACTTACCGAAGACCTGGAAGCCCAGAGTGCAGGTGTAGGTGAACCACTCAATGTCTCTGGTGGTCTCCACGCTGACCACCTGTTTACACACTGATGGGATCCCTGAGAAAACAAAACACATGCAGCAGAGATTTTAGCATAACCTCGTTTTAACTTTAGCATAAACACACAACTGTACGAACTTAAACCTGTTTAGAATGCAGATATTTGCACATCGCTGCATCCTGGTTGGTGCACGGCTGGACCGATGGTGGTGTTTTTTCAACTGAGCTTCAAACTAGCGTGAATCACTCAGAAGAAAAAAAAAATGCAAACGCCTCTCATCTGAAACAATCACGAGTGTTAGAAACTAGCTTGTTTGTGTAGAGTCTCATTACTCATTTAATAAGCTGGCTGTCATTTTGACATGTTTTTAACAGGGTTTTGAGCACCTGCTTCACAGTAAAAACTCACTCATGTCAACACATTTCAACTCCAGATGACTGTGACAGAAAAACCTCTACACATAACAGGTGTTTGTGGTGGAGGAGAAAACCTTTTAAATACATTTTGCTGTCCTGCAAACTTAGGACTCATTTTGAAATGACAATTTTGCACATGGCTTTAAACCAAATAATCCCAAACACACACCTTCTACATGCTGTTTCTGTTGTTATCCAGTGTTTAGACTTTTTAATAACTTCTGTTATTGTCAATACCAGCCCGATGGTGCACCTTATTTCTTCTTTCCTCGCTACTTTTCACATTATTTTTGCAAATGAAGAAATCAGCTGCTAATCTGCAATCTTGTACATGTTGCCGCATTTTTACGCACATGGATGTGAACTAATCAGCACCGAGGATGCTAATTGCACTCACAGTAAAGTATCTCGTAGTCGCCTGAGTTGGACACCAGGTACTGGGAGTCCACTGACCAGTCCAGGTGGGTGATGAAGCTGGAGTGACCCTGAGGTAAGACAACAAGGGACACAGTTAGAGAAACGCATCGACATACTTCACAGGATGTCCAGAGTGGAGGCAGAACCAGAACCAGAAATAATTCTAGAAACGTTGACGCGATGCAGAAACTTTAGCGCATGACTCAGGTAGTTGTCATTCACCATCTTTCTATATAAAGCCGGTGACAGCAGATACCAAAATACAGAGCTGAGGATGGGCCTAAATATAAAACCCAACCGGGGAGGGAACTTTAAATAAAGACGCCGTGAGTGAGGGGGATCGTAAACGCTCACCGAGCACTTCCCGACTCGACTGTACTTCCTCCCGTTTTCTGCCACAGCGTAGATGTAGATGTAGTTGTCGTGGGAACCGATGGCCAGGAAGTTGCCATCTAAATAGGCAAAAAAAAAAAAGAGGAAGCAATTAAATAAAATAAAATGTTTGCAGATGTACGAACTCGACTCTATGAGCTGCAGTATGTGGATGGATACACGTGATGTGACAATTACAGTGTACTTATTTAAATATATACTCAAATATGGTTCAAACAAAACTCCATCTTTAACGGCAGTATCTCTATTTATTTTATTATTTCTTTGTAAAATCATCTTTCCACTTGCAGCTTTCCTGGTGTCAACAACAGCGAATACAAGCCCTTGTTCATGTTCTGCTTAATTTCCTGAACACTAAACTTCCAGACACAGAAGCAGAACGTGAGACCAGCACTCAGCAGTTACCAACATACCTGGTCCGTAGCGCATAACCGACAGCTGCTCGTTCCCATCTGTGTGCACGGTGACTAAATCCTTAGAGTCGGTGTCCAGGACCAGCCACCTGCAGGATCGACGACAGGCTGCTCAACAATCTGGTTCTCCATCAGTGTAGCACTCATGGCCAATATTGTTTTCTTTTTTTTTAACCTTTTGACTTTGCAAACTAAATAGCCACAATATGATTTTGCGGTGACGGGATCTGTACCTGCCGGTCTGCGTTCCTATGGCAACCACAGATCCAGAGGGATGGAAGCCTGCCGACTGAGCAGCATCCTGTCAGAAAAGGACGAATATTTAAAGTCCCCGTCGGCGCATAAATGTGTTTTGATTGTTGTCACAGCAGTCGGGCGTTTGACCTTCACATGTAGAGTGACACAACACACAAAAAACACTCCCTTCAGCTTAAATTTAAGGAGTATACGTGTGAATATGAATCATAGTTCAGCATTCAAATTACACAGGTGACACAGAACAGA